TCGACACTAGGTAAATCTAAGTGCTTCGATGTCCCTCATGCAGGATCCAGCCAGCTTTGAGCAGACTGGCGGCTCACTGTTTAAAATTCTATGTCAGTAGCCTCAAGAGTTTTTTACATTCCACGAGGAACGTATCACAAGTAAAATCGTATTACATCAACGTTGCAATTCATTATTTTAGTACCCTACACTGGGGAAAAAACACATTGGATCTTGAGTCCAGACTCCTGAAAACATTGACAAGAAGAAATACTCTTGACTCGATTGGATTTTTGCTTGAATCAAAACGGAATCCGCTTAAATTAAGAGGCTTGGTTCTTGATTTAAGCTAGATTCTGATTGAATCAAGAGTACTTTTTATTGTCGATGTTTTTAAGAGTCTGGACTCTAGATCCANTGTGTTTTTTTTTTTTTTTTTTTTTTTCCAGTGTAGAGTCAAACTTTATTTTAGTCATTTCGACGCACAGGAGAGAACCGCGCGTTAGCCCCATTGTTTTAATGTAAATTTCAATGTTTAGAACTCCGTATCCCAAAATCGGCGTAAGAAATGGCTACAAAATGTTCCAGTCACTAAGGGAACGGTTATCGGAGGTTTCTAAAACGCCATTAACTCGATGTTTCAAATGAAGTACATTTAGGTGCCTTTTGGCTCTGGGGTATTTAATAAGTGCATTGCATTTTGCAAAAAAGCAACTGAGAGAATTCCAATTTTTCTAGGACTTTACAACTTGTATTCTTTTCAACACAATTTCTGAAATCACGCAAGAAATTAAATCTACCACGGTTTTTTTCGTCTCGAGCCTATATTTTATTGGGAGTAATGATAAAACTTGTTTAGATGATAGGTTTATATTTGCAAGGTTCAGAAAGTCTCACGATCTTAGCAACATTGGAAAGCTCTTGGTTCCTTTTCGCCAAATGCAACCCAAGTAAGGAACTGATATTAAAGATGTGCACTGTTTAGTCTTCTATTTTTGAATGAAGCCTTGCACTTTATTCCAACTCGTGACGATCCTAACGGTAATTTTTCATTTTGTCACCTATTTTCGTCGCCAAGTTTTCTCTGAGCGAATGATGCTTACATGTATGTATTTAGTTATTGTGCTTGTACTCAGACTGTTGTTAAAATATCGAGGACGGAAGTAATGGATAATGGAAGTGTTCAAACATGTTGCGTATGGTGATAACTAATTCCTCTCAACGGTGCAACCTTTACGATTGTGTTGGATACTATCGTGTATTATTTTATCTTAATTATCTCTGCAAAATTGCCCATGTCCTCCACCGCAGGAGCGGTAAGAAATGATTTCATGTTGCTCATTAACGCATGTTGTGTATATTTTTTTGGTGCTTTCATGAAAAGTTCAAAACTGTGTTTCCTAATCTTAAGTTTGGTCATTTTTGCTGATGTAACAGCTTAATTTTTTTGGTAAGAAAAACGTACAAAACCAAGATTTTCCGAGAGTCATCTGTTAAACTGGTTGCCACGTGCACCGTAAATGAAATTATAATATGTTTTAGCCTTGAATTGACAGTGAGTGAAATTTTTATCGAATTCTGACCTAATTAAGCCTAGGTTTAATATGAAATCCCATCTGACAAATAACGCAATATTTTTGTCATCTACTAACAACCAGAGGTTCTAGAGATTTATGGCTCGAATAGAATTCAAAAGCTTTTCATACTGAGAGGTTTCGCACATAACTTCGGAAGCTTTAACCTGAGAAAGCACCATTTGTGTTGCCTAACCGTCAGGGGCTGTCGACGGTAATTCATCTTATCCCGCGGGAACTAATAATATCACTAAGGAAGGTTTTTTTTATGCCCTTCCAAGTAATCCTGTAGGTAACGTCAACCAACAAGATTTTCCCATAGTGCTATCGATCGATACTCAACTGCAAGAGTAGACACTGTTCACTGTTTGAAAATTCATTTTTATCTATTATGAATCATATTTTTGTTTTTATCAGTCAAAATGGTACATGATAATTCCACGCTCAGAACCTTATTTGGAGCAAACTTAATTCAGGTTCCCACAAGCACAACTTCAGTTACATAATTGGACAGCGAGAATTCCAGCGCACCGCTCTGGAATCCTCGTTGTCGATCATACGGTTGTTGCAATTTTTTTATTGTCACAATGTCGCATACAATCAAATTAAATTGATCGATGATTTCTGTTAACAACCCCCCCCCCTTCCCTGGCTACGCCACTAACATGGATCGCCATGCTCAATGACGTCCAACTTGCATTTATTTTGGAATTATTCAGAACTTCTGTCGTTAATATGCGTCTCTTGTTGCACTTCAAAAGTATTAAAAATCGATTGATAGTTAGATTACATTTTGCCATAAGGAACCACTATCTCTGGTTCTACCCTGAAAGCACATTTCTGCATAGGGAAACCAATGGCATGTGTGTTGTTTCTAAAATGAGCCAGAAATAGTGGTTTCTTATTGCAAAACGTGCTCCAGGTTCAGGAAACAAATTTAGGCCCCCTCGACCACCTTTCGATTCTCTCCCTCAGCCATAATACTGAGAAGTATCACCACGCTGAATGACATCCAATCGGACTTCATTTTGCAATTAGAAACTTCTATTTCTGATTCATGTATAGATGCACCTATCTGAATAGGGTAATAATTACTGTCAACGTACGTTGTTTCTGAAATAATCGTAGCAGTTTTCTATTGCAAAGTGAAGTCCACTCTTGTGTTGCTTGTAGCACCGAGAGTTTAGCAATGCCCATCGCTGGCAGGGGCTGTCTGCAGCAATGTTCTACCTCGATAGCGAAGAGATCTGCAAGTCTCAAATTTTCTAAATTGAGCTTTTTCAAAATTAGTCTCATCTAATTAAGATGAAATCACTGTTCCAGCTTAAACAGCCAAAATTCGTCCAATCTCTACACAACAAAAGCGCAACAATTGACACTGTTTCAGACAAATCAGCCGGAAGGGCATTATACCACCATAGAACCAATGAAAGCTGTATTTTCAAGTATAGCATAACAAGAAAATAACCAGAGACCCTTTTCATTTAGCTGAAAACAAAATTCGTCGATTTCAAATCACTCGAACAATTTTTTAGTCTCTCGGATGATCGGTGACTATTTGATAGAAAGTAGTCGTTTTATTTCCAAAAATGTTGCCACTCAGACGCCTGTAAGCCTAGTTTTTCAACTTCATTAATACACTCACAGCTCGATCTCTTCGCTATCACAACGATATTATTGTACTGATCGTAAATAAGTAACGGTCTCCTCCCGGTCTTGCGTTTCATACCGAACACCCTTTCGTCGCTTCGTCTCCAGCTCTTCTTCACCATCTTGAAATGTGTACTGCAGGTGTTTCAACCGGACTTCTTTCAACTATTCGGTCCAATCCCTTTCGTCGCTTCGTCTCCAGCTCTTTCTCACCATTTTGAAATGTGCACTGCAGGTGTTTCAACCGGACCTTCTTTCAACCATTCGGTCCAATTTTTATTCAAGCGGAGCAACTGGATTGAATATCAAGGCGTCGGTATGCTCTGTCCTCAGTTCGCTAAAATTTTCTCCGCCCTCTGGAGTTCGTAATTTTTCGCAGTTAATTTCTCCTAGCCTAACGATAATTCACAACGATATTTCGAAGAAGCACAAAACTGGTTTCGTCTTACCTTGCCAAACCAAGCCCCTCGCACTTCACAGATTTTCTCTCATTGGCGCACTGTTGAGTACATCGCCAAACATGCTAAGAGTTGCAATTTGAACGCATCCCTTCGTTCGGATGGATTCTTCATTCTTATGGCAATACATGATGAAAACTGCGTTGTTCAAGATGTGCCTTGCCATCATTATTTTGGACTAATATTTTCTTCCACAGTGCTGACAGCCTCCAGTTCATGTCAAGTATATGAATCATAACGCTTGTATTTTGAATCGATGTTTTTCTTCCTCCGCTAGTACTAATAGTCTCAAGTGTGTCGAGTGACCAGGTGACTCTTTCTCTGCCTTCAACCCGATAAAACACCCGGTATCTCGCACATACTTATGCAGGAGCCAGGATCAAGTGCTGTATAGTTATTTCCACATAGAGTTCTCCAGAAACCTGACTCTTCGAAGAAGGATTCCATCCAAGATGTAGTGGTGTATCCTGAATTTGAGATTCTCCGCAGTCGAACTCGACGAGAAAATGATGGCCACAAGATCAGACTCGTTCACTTACTCACAAAATACGTTTTTACAATACCTCAATCCATCTTCAGTGAGTTGAAGTGACAGTCGAATGGTCAAATCCTCAAGAGTAAAACCCGATCGATTTGCGTTGATGTTGTTGAGGACGAAACACATGCCCGAAGAGCGTAAAAATATTGGATGACCTGCCCAGAAGAAAAGCTGGAAGTAGAATTTCATGGATTTTTACCTCAACCAGGGTGCCTAGCATCAGCATTCTCCCGATTCCATCAGGATTTAATCCCGCTTTCATCAGGATTCGAGGAAAAATCGGTCAGAAAATCAAGATTTGAAAAAAGTCGGCTCTCCGATCGGATTTTTTTATGCGTTCGCGTATGCTCTCGCAGAAATTTTAAGTTTTGTCTGCAAAAAATCAGGATTTGGAAAATTTATGAAATCAGGATTTCCCAAAATGAAAAAAACTAGACACCCTGCAACGGACAAAACAACGAAGATTAACGATACTGTCGAAGCAGCTCGTTGAAATTGACCAATAATTACAATACAAATCATCGCCCTCCATATTTAACTACTTAGCAGTGATTGATCACACGTGTCAATCTACGATCACGTGTCAAATTTACGTGTCAATTTCACGTGTCTCATCACGGCACGGGCACGGCGTAAATGCATCCGTTCCGTTGATTTTCGTCCGTGACACGGCCGTTTCAGGTCACTATCTCTACAAGCATGCAATGCTCCCCGTGGTTGAGGTGAACTCGATCGTCTCCTACTCGCATTTAAGTTCTCATTCAACCGATTCCGGGTTCGAATCCCGGTAGTGGCGTCGAATTATCCCGGAACTGACGAGTGGATCGGCAGAAACGGATCCTGCTGTGGTTGTCCAGTTACCTCCTGCTGTTGCTGTCCAGTTACCTCCTGCTGTTGCTGTCCAGTTACCTCCTTATCTCGTTGTCCAATTACCTCCTGATCTTCATTTCCATTACGTTGATCACCATCAACATTTTTGGCGATACGAATGAAAATTAAAATCTGTTCCTATTGCTCTGATGTCGACGGTCAGTGAGTCGATGACCACTGCCAACCGCCCAGGTTTGACCATCGAAACTAAACACATAATTCAAGATTTGAAAATTTCAAGAAGATATTCTGAAGACGCTCGGATCCCAAAAAGTTTTGATAGAGCACTCCGTGCCCTGGAAAAGGTGATGGAACTCATGAAATGGTGGCTGCAGGACTTCAACGAAACGATTCTAGAGGCGTCAGCTGCCGCATGACTTCTGCGGAAAGAAATATTCATGTGGCATTTGGGTGTCGCAGAACGCCTGAGTGCGTTGTAAGTCTATGTATTCTGATCTCCAGCTTGATTAGCCGAATTTTCTCCCTGTTTCAAGATAAACCCCTCTGAAAGTTTCAGCCCTCGAGGTCGGATCACGAAGATTGCATTAAATTGACAAGCCGTTGGAAACTTGCTGTTTGGATAGCTGGATAACATTGCCGGAAATCTGCGAGGAAGCCTCTGTTTCAGAAGTTTATGCATCATTGCCCTCGAAGATGTCGTGCTTGAAGTGTGCATACGATGTTGCAGGCGCCCCGAACGGTCCTTACTGACATGACGACATGGGTATTTCGTGCGATAGTCTCAAATTTGTCGTCCGCATTTGTAAACCGTTCTGACGTTTGGAGACTGGACCCGGTCCTCATCTCGAGAATGACTCAGTTCCCATTCCGGAAACATTTAAGTCTGGAAGCAACAACTCAGCTACTAATACAACTGCGCAGTATGTTCATTGCGTCTTTCCCTCCTGGGACCTGATAAATTGGAGTGCATCCTATCAAGATCTGTGCTTCAACATTGTAATGATCCTGCATTTTCTTCATTCATCTTTGAAAGCGAAGTCAGACGCAGGAACTTTTGGAACACAGGTGAGATCGGGTGCTCGCGTCCTGAAATTCGAAAACTGACGGAGGCATTTTTTTTTCTTTTCATATCAGTTCCTTGACAACTCCACGACTTTCAGTAGAATGAACTCAAGGTCGGTGGCCTCAGTCATCTTTATAAACACGTACTTTAGCAACGCCTGGTGACGTACGAAACTCAACCCAACTGAGCACAATGAATCGAACTCAAGAAACTCAACCCATTTGAGCACAATGAATTGAGCTCAAGAAACTCAACCCAACTAAGCACAATGAATTGAACTCAAGGTAAAAGCCTCTTTTCCGGGAACTAACTCCATTTCGCTGACCCGAGTTAAACATTCGCAGTGACTCCGCAATTTAATTGCTCGGAGAAAATGCCCCTCGCATACCCAATACAGTTGGCCAACGTCCCTGGGCATGTTATTCGTCATTCAAGGGAAGCTGGCTGCGCTGGCGTTCGCCGCCTTGGACACCATGCCATCGTGGGTTAAATGCGCGTCAAATGTTGGAAACAACAGCATACCTGCTACAGTGCTACCAACCCGATGAGCACGTCAAATGATCTGGCAGTATTGAAACTCTACAAATTCGTAGAGAGAATTTGCGAAAGGAGTGTGGAGCTTTTGCAGCCGCGTGAGGACCGAGCTTTTTTTTGCCTGGAGCAACTCTGCTCGAACATGTTAGCTAACCGAAACCAGGACTGTGACTTTTCTCAAGCTGACGCCAACGATGGATCGAGAAAAACACCCGAGCAGTACACTGGATAAAGTGAATTTGAAAATTTCTTACCTGTGAAATATTCCAGAAACACTTTTCATAAAGCGGAAGGAGTTCGAGTTACGATCTTTTTCTGTAATATCAAAATGTTCCAAATTTCGGACGCACTTAGGATTTTTTAGAAAAAATTAAGATCTCCTCTGCCTCTTGGGGTGAACTTTAAGATGGGAACAAGAAACGAGGATGGCCATCAATGTACTGAAGATTTTTATGCTTAAGGGTGCGGATGAAACTGCATCGAACTCGGGAAGTCAAATCGTAGGAGACCTTTTTGTAAAAACTATGTAAAAGCTTCCGTGTCGTTTATTTGCACAAAAGTTATTCGATAATGCCGTATTGGCGTTATAGAGAGTCTGCTTACATTCGAGTGTATGAACGATGCGAAAGTTTATTTTAGGGTTGTTACTATTGTGTGTAATTATGCGCTTATCGTGTACGAACTTGAAAAACATATGAAAAAGAAAAATGAAAAAAAAAAACCGAAATAAAACAAAAATGAAAAAAAAACACTAACGATAAAAAACAAAAAAACCCAGAAAAAAACAAAGAAAACAAAGAAAAAACAAAAAACAGAAAAAAACAAAGAAAAAACAAAAAACAGAAAAAAACAAAGAAAACAAAGAAAAAACAAAGAAAACAAAGAAAAAAAAAGAAAAAAAAACTAGAAATAAACCAAAAAAACAGTGAAAAACAGAAAAAACGAAAAATACAAAGAAACGAAATAAAACGAAAAAACAAAAACAGAAACAAAACATAAGAAAACAACCAAAAAAAAAAATAAAAAAACAGGAAAAAAACAACCAATAACATAGAGAAAAATAATGAATATTACGTACCTACACACTTTTAGACTGCAAAGGAAATTGTCTGACGTCAGTTCAGCATTGGGAGTAAATACAATAATCGAGATGACTGATTTTCTGTCGCAGTCTGACAGTGCGTAAAATTACGTAACGTGGACACCACCGTAAGGTTATGAGGATGTCAACTGCTTTTTGTAAATTTAGTTCTCATGTAAATCGGACGCATTTTTGTCAAACGGAACTATGTGCGTTATGACGAGAGCCCTGTCATGCGTATATTCTCATGGGTCTCAAGGCTCATGTCATAATGCAGATAGTTCCGTTTGGTAGAAATACGTCCATATTGAAGGTGAAACTCCCAAACCACATAACCCGTCTGCAATGTTTAAAATCTAGTACCATATTTTTTTTTTTTTTTAAAAAAAAAAGGAGAACACTTAACAATCCTTTGGAAATTCTACAGAATTTGCTGCGCACAGAGTGGGGAAATCTCGGAAGCTTTAAGAAAGCGTTGAGTAGTTCTCCATCTGAAACATATAGCACGACAGAGAAGTTTGCGATGTCGCTAACCGAGCTTTGCGGTTTGGTTCGTAGTTTCACCTTCGACATGAACTTATGATCACACTGTTGAGAAATTCATTATCACCAAAGGTGCTCACACATCGGATCTTTCTCCTCTTTCCCGTTCTTATACACTTCTGTATTTTAAAGCTAAGGTTTTCCTACCTCCACACAGTGGATCGAGTCAATTAGAGAGGTAGGACATGAAATTCTTAACTAAAATTGCACATTTTAATGTTTATTTCATCACATTTTAAATTTCAATAGCTGATTCTGAACGAAAATTTCACGAGGACACCAACAAAACCACTTCTAAGGCCTTAAAGTTGTGTATGAACGGAGTTATAGGCTTTTAAAGTTTCCAAATTTTGTCCGACCTCTCTAATTGACTCGATCCACTGTGCTCCAGGACAATGTCAGTGCAGCAGCCATTTATCCTTTAGGAAGATGACGAGTGTCAATGATGAATAATGGCAGGTTCTAAACAATGCAAATTGTCGCGTTTTCAAATATGTATTACCGAGTGTTTCAAAGTAAGGTAATCACTGTTAATATTGTTTTAAAGAATTCGAATATTGGAAAATGCCGAAACACTCATCCAAAATATTTGAGGGCGACCTCTTTTTTGCAAATCTCCTCTTTCGGGCCTCTCGAGGGTGTTCCGGTGTTTTTCAATATCCGAATTTGTTCAAAGGATATTCGAGGTGGATACCTACCCTGTTTTGAAACACCGTGTATTTAAGCTCAGGCATTGCTCTCACTGTCTGGCCGAAATCGCCGCACTGTGTGCGGGCAGAGACGAAACAGGCAGTGAGAGAAAATGATAGGAATGCAAATCGTCGCGTTTTAAAGTAGGCAATACGGGTTTCTCAAAAGAAAGTACCCACCTTTAATATCTTCAGAACGAATTCGAAAATGAAGAAACGCCGAAAAACTTATTCCAACTTATTAAGGGCGCACTCATTTCTGCAATTTTTTAATTTTAAGCCCCTCAAGGGCGTTCCGGTGTTTTTAAACATTCGAATTCTTTCAAAGGATATTGGTAGGTACACAGAAGCTCAGGCATTGCTCTCACTGTCGGGCCGAAATCGCCGCATTGTGTGCGGGCAGAGACGAAACAGGCAGTGAGAGAAAATGATAGGAATGCAAATCGTCGCGTTTTAAAATAGGCAATACGGGTTTTTTCCAAAGAAAGAACCCACCTTTAATATCTTCTGAACGAATTCGAAAATAAAGAAACGCCGAAAAACTTATTCAAACTTATTAAGGGCGCACTCATTCCCTCAATTTTTTAATTTTAAGCCCCTCAAGAGCGTTCCGGTGTTTTTAAATATTCGAATTCTTTCAAAGGATATTGGTAGGTACACAAGTTCAGGCATTGCTCTCACTGTCAGGCCGAAATCGCCGCACTGTGTGCGGGCAGAGACGAAACTGGCTGTGAGAGTAATTAGACAAGTAAATGTAATTAGAATGTGAACTATCAAACAAAATTAGATCAGTTTAGGGTCTTTCTGCCAACTTCGGTTTGCACCCTTTCAGAGGATTGCTGACTTTTGAAACGATCATTTTACGCGTGGCACAAGGGAATTCAAACAAAATGAAATGAAAACCTGAATATTCATTATACATTACGCAATAATTGAATCTGAATGTGCGAAAAAAACTTTCAATTTTTTCTATTTTTAAGGAAAGCGCAATCGAACTGTACAAGGCTCACAATCTCGATTAAATAATGTCCCAGAGCTAAGCTTTATAGGGGTTTTCTTTTTTTGATCGGTGGTACCGCCGATCACCAAACTGTGTTCGTTAATTGATCCGTCGGTGCTGACGTCACGACCGGTGGAAGTACGACCGGTGGATTTGGTACCACCGATCAGTGATCGGAGTGATCGGTCATTTCTC